GACCGGGAATTGAACCAGCGACCTCTTGGCGCATAGGTCGACGCTCAACCACACCAGCCGGGCTAGACTCTAATTCTTTAATAAATGTTGACTTTTGTCCCTCAAGTTGAAGCCAGGAAAAAAGTTCTATCTAAATGAGATTTCACTTGGGTGGGTTTAGTTACTTTGGGTGTTATTAGATATAAGCAAAGGGCCATTTGTTGGGTAAAGAGAGAATTTTAGTGGTTACATGTTGAGGAGATGGACGATCGTCCCATGGAGAGTGTGTGCCCAGACCCCGGCCTGAGTGGCCAGCCCCGGTCCGAGCCGCCCTCCCCTCACCGCCGTCTGTTCAGAGTGCAGAGGTAGGTGGGCTGGAGACAGAGAAGAGAGATGGGAATGTGGTGGAGAGGGGCGGTGGGGTCTAGAGCCTAGAATAGTCAAGAGAAGGAGGTAAGATGAGTAAGAATAGGAGGAGGAGGGGAGGGAACTCCCGCAGTGGGAGAGGATTTGAATGTTGGTAGTAATGGAGTGAGGAAGGCTGAAACCTTGAGAAAATGGCACCTTTTGGGCATCACAAAGAGAGAATGGCTCATAGCATTCTTTGCTCACTTCCTCCTTCCCTTTATCCTGCCTCCAAACCGATGTTTGCTGCTTTATTTACAACGGCAGAATGCACCGGGTGACATAGGACCTAGCTGGAATAAACCAGCATTAGAAATTGTGCGTCCTAAGGACTGTGTATACTCACCATTTGACTTTTATTTTTTATTATTTTACACTTGACAGTGTCCCAGATTATAAGTGCTTTGGAGACGAGGGTAAAAGATGATAAATAAAATATTTACACTTTAAGCTGTAGACTAAATTGGTTAATTTTCCAGGGCTGCTGTGTTTTAGATCTTGTGTAAATTAGGGGATGATTAGAAGAAGCCTCTCTTTGGAAAATGTGGGAGAATTGGTTTAAGACTCAGGCTTTATTAATGTGAACCACAGGCCTTTAGACCTACAAGTGACAAGGGACATTCAGCCTTACGTCATTTTGGATGTGAGGTATCTGTCAGTAGGTTTTGCCCTTATAATTTCAGAGGCAAAAATTGCTTACTTGCAAGGTTACCCATGGATTTATTATGCTGTCCACAATTAGCAATGTGCAGTCTTCATTAGAAGGTGCCAGTGGCTTTAACAATTTCTTTAAATTTTACTCGTGTTCTTTCAGCCATTAAATGTGTCAACGGCAAGACTAGTCCACACTCAAACCTGAGTGTGTGTGAGAATCACTGCAGGGCTTGTGCACATGCAGCACACACGGAGCGCTGGGCCCCGCCGAGTTTCTGGTTCGGGGCCTGGGATGGACGCTGGAATTGGCTGTTCTAACAAGTTCCCAGGTGACGCTGCTGCTGCTGTCTGTGCCCACACTTTGACAGCCACCGGTCCTGTGGGAATTCAAACTGGGCTTCAGTCTGGGTTGATGGGGGATTATGTTGAAGGGGTGGTAGTTTATTTACCTCTTTCTGACTCGGTGTTTCCTCCTCTGGAGTTGGGCAGGAGGGGAAAGGCATCTGTGTTCATTCAGGTGACCGGCCCCCAGTGCTGCCCTCCAGGTGCAGGCCAGGTGTGCTGATGGGGCATTACCCTGGCCGCTCCCCCACCCCCACACCAGGAAGCAGCTGTGTTTGCTCCTGACCCAAATCTCTGCTGTGCCCTGGAGACCGTGCAGTCCCTGATCGCTGGTGGTATGAGGATGTGACGTTGGATGCCCAGGTCCTTCCAGCTGGCTGGGAGATTGACCGGGAGTGGCCACTGGGAGGGAGTCAGGGGACCTGGCTTCTGTGTCTGGGTGGACTTCATACTCCTAGAGTGAGCTTGGCCAAGCTCCTAGACCTTGACTCTCCCACTTTGACTCCTGATGTTGATGAAACACAGCTCTCCCCTTCCCAATCTATGACATAGCAGAAAGGTGAAGTCAGGTCTGGGAGCAGCCTCCAGGGCACACGTGAGCCGCTGTGCGGTGTGCAGAACGTGGAGTGCCTGCCGAGAACACTGCTGTGTAAACAATACATTATTAATAAAACGTCAAAAAACAGCATCACGCCCTCTGCCAATAATAGCTGCGTTAGGCTGGGGCCCCCCCGACACAGGCTCCCCGCAGTGGGAGAGGCAGGCTGACTGTGGTTTCTGAATTGGCAACACATTTAAAAGAAAGTGAAAATAGATTTTTAAAACATTTTTGAGCGTATTCATAGGTACATTCATGAAGAAAAAAATAATGGCAGTTTTGCATAATTCAGCTTCAATACACCAAATCATCATTTCCTTTCGATTTTCATTACACTTCAGAGTTGTTTTACAACGTGGGCTGTTCCACAGGCATTTTGGCTGACGTGTTAGGAGTGTTTTCCTCCTCCCATCAACACCGGTAAGCGGTTGATGCCCCTTCAGTTCCGTGGGGGGACAAGTACAAATCAGCTAGTGATGAATTAGTCAGTGAATGGTGACCCCAGCTGTACAGACGCATGTGAGCTGTAGACACAGATCTAAACGTAGGGATCTTGGCCTTAAGGGATTTGTAGTGTCGTTTTGATTAAAGATATAGAAAGCAAGATATGACGTAAGGAGACCACTGTATTCTTAACATTTATCTCCTTAAGTAAAATAAACAAAATGCAAATCCACTCCGTGGTCTTGGAGGCGCCTGCAGACCTTCCCCGTGGCATCCCATTCCCTGGGTTCCCTGGCGGGAAGAAGCAGACCTTTGTCCCCTCCCCCAGGGAGCCTGGTGGTGGAAGCTTCTTGAGAGTGTTGTGACAAACTGTCTTCTGGTCTAGCACCCAAGTGGTGGCTGCCCACCCACATCCTGGGGGAGAAAGCTCTGGGACACCTATACGCTGGGTCCCTCAGGCACCTTAGAGCTCACTCCTTCCTGACCAGCTAGGATACCGGCTCCCTCCCCGCCTTCTGTCCAGAGGTGTGGTTTTTAGCCCACAGCAGAAGCTCCCTAAGGACAGGCCTCGCCTGGTCCTGGGCAGGGACCTCAGCCCACGTCCACGGGGGCTTGCCTGGGAGCTTGTAAACACGTCGTGCCTGGGTTCACCCCGTGAGATTCTGATAAAGTTGAACTGGGGCAGTCTCTGGGCAACTGGTCCAAAGCCCTTGGCGAGTGCAGTGTGCACTGGGGTGAGAAGCTCACACTGGCTGTTGAATTGATCAGAAAGGGTGACTCAGAGTCTGTGCTTGTCACTCAGGAGTTTTTGAATGGAGAAAAAAAAACACATCACAAATCTTATCTTGGAAGCTTATCCTGACATTAGGCTCTTTTCCTGTAGGCTCTCTCAGGTCCCATTTGCCTGCAGGTAGATGGTTACTTTGAGTGTGGGGCACAGCTGGCCCATAGCCGTCTTCCCCGGGGGCAGCTGGGACGTGGGCCAGTTGCTTTGGGAGCATTGATCCACCAACCCCTGGGAATCCCTGGCCCTGGTCCGGCCCCAGTCTCTTGTCACTGAAGGGCCTGCAGTAGGCACCCCACATCCCTACCGCCCGCTCGCCCTGCCGGGACTGTGGCGACCAGCCCAGGCCCCCTGCCCCCCTCTGTACCCGCTGCTGTTCAGTGTGCACTTCCTGCCTGCATTGTTTTCTCCCCTCGAGTGCATGTTTTCCCCGGGCTATTCCGAGAACATAGGCCACCCGCGGTGGAGCATCCGTTTGGTTTATAGCGTCAGGACTTCTCTGTACCAAGACCCCCAGCCCATTCGTTACGTTTTCTACATCTCTGTGCTCTTCTGCGGTTTGCCCCAGTCAGCACGATGCCTTCCTTCTGTCTGTGTCGTTGGCAGAATAAAACCTACAACTCGAGCGTGGATCAGAAGCCGACTGAGCAGACTCCAGGTGGCCGTGTCGACCTGCTCGTTTCTGACTTCTAGGTTTTAGGGGAACGTGTTGATCCATAGGCTTGTAAGGAGTCTAAGTGGGTGTCACTTCAATGTTATGTGGGAAACTTTGGGCCATTCTGTTAGTCCAGAGAGGGAAACCCAAGGTGGATGAGGAAGCTGATTTTATCTGATAGTGAAGGAGGGGGCTGAGGAGGCTGCCACCTGGTGGAGACGTCAGGTCGGGGCAGGAATGACCTAGAGCTAACGAGTCGTTCTTGCATTTTGTTCTTTTCTCTCTCTTCTCATTTTCATTTGGTATTTTGACCTTGTCACTATCATTTCCTCCTATGTACTTTCATATTCCATCTTCTTTGTCCCGAACCCCACCCTTGGCCTTATCCTTGACTTGCTCCTCCCGGTCCTGTGCTGGGCTGTCTTATTCGACCTCATCCTTACTTCTCTCCCTCATTTCTTTCTCAAGAATTGCTCCATCTTGCCAGAAACACTCAGTCTTTTGCCATTACCAAAGCATTCCTCTTTTTTATCGTTGGGGGAAGCCGAAGGGGTCTTATCACTGGAGAGAGACCCCCAGGGTGGACGTTTGTTTTCCTTTGTTTAAGCCAGCATGCATGGGTTACTTATTTATGTTCTGTGCAATATCTGATTTCATCTTCAGGTAGAAAATATGCCCATTTATTTGGCAGGTGATAACACAGAGGTTAAAGGAAGTTAAGGTGCTTGATCAAGATCAAGCAACATGTTAAATGGGACACCTCATGCTGGAGACGCACTCTGCCGTTGAACTCTGCGCGCTCCGGCTGGGGGAGGAGTGGACTGTGTTGCCAGGCCAGTGGGTGGGGGTTGGCATTCCGTGGCCTTGGAGGTTCTCCATGCCAGCATCATGGGAAGCTGTGCAATTATGTGGGATGGGGAAGCCTCTTTCCCATGAGGTTGATTTTGGTGATAAAATTCCAAGTCATTCTCTTCGAAATGATTCACTATCAATTCTGAGACTGTGGGTGGTCACTGTGGGAATGTGGCAAATCGTGTTGGTCCCAGTGCCTTGGGTCATGTCACTGTTGCTGTCGTTGCGTGAATGAGCTGGGGCGGGGTTCTCTCAGCGAAATGTCTCAATGTTGTGTTTCTTTGCAGAGCCTGTGTCATCCTGGGGGTGATATTCCTCCTGTCATCCTTATGTATAGTGGTCAAAGCCATCCACGACCTCTCGACTAAGCTGCTCCCGGAAGTGGTAAGGTCCTTCTTCTCTCTTAGCAATCCCTCCTGTGCTACCGCTCTTCACAGATGTGCGGGGGCGGGGGGGGGGGGGCTGGGCCGGTGGAGGGAGGACAGGCAACACTCTGGGACTCCCGAAGGACTCACTGGGATGGGTGGCTTGGGAGAGGAAAGCACCAGGCAAGAGGAAGAGGCTTCAAATATTGAGCCTGTACTGGGTTCTGTGTCCCTCTCCTTAGATTTTTGACTGTTTTTAAAACAAGCTTTTATGTAAAGAGAAACGGGCTGATTTTTACGTAGCAGAGTAACCCCGTCTGTGTTGTTGGAGTCTGTCGTTCTGCGTCCCTGTAACGACTGTGGTAGTAAGAATTATTTGATTGCTTTGCACCTCGGTACATGAATCTGTGTAGGTTTTCTGGCACGACTGACTTCCGAGTGTGGGGACTGGAGGACGCAGTTTCATCCTGGAGTGTGTCTGACTGCTTTGTCCCGGGGTGACAGACATCACCTGCACTGGTTCTTTTTCTCACCCTCCCCGTATGAACGCAGAGCAAGTAAATGTCTGTACAGTCTTCATATAAGGCAGCCCATTTATGTACCAGGAGATGAAGACGCTGCCATTACAATGATGCTGTATATGCAGGGTGGGGCAAAATTAGGTTTACTGTTGTGGGTATGGAAAATAATCCAGTAATTAATAACTAACAATACAAGAATAAACTGTTTCACATGCCCACGACTGTAAACTACTTTTGCCCCACCCTGGACAAGTTGCATAGTGATTTAAAGGCAAAAATAAGGGCTGTTCTTTTAAAATGTGATTTGATTTGAGTTTAGCTACCTGCACCATCTTAATATATTAGACTGTTAGCAGAATATACGTGAGTCCCTCCTGGAGTGCGGCACCATGTGCGTGTGTGTCTGGGAAGATGAAGATGTGCGACAGGGCATCTCACAGGCTGAAGGCAGCTGCCTCGAGGGGCCCGCCCCCTGCCGAGAGGAGAGCCCTTCCTTTAGCAGCTCCTCGGATCTTAACTTATTTATCCTCACAGATAGAAAAGCTTGTTCTCTGATATCTCAGTGACAGGAAGAAAGGATGGATACCAAGGTAGGAATGTCCCTACCTGTGGCTTTTAGTCTTTTTTAGCAGATCTAGCGCAAGCAAATCTTGCTATTTATTATACTCTGTGTTCTTCGTCTCACTATTGTTGTCTCTCCGATCTTCCTGGTCACACAGGATCCTGGACTTTCTCATCCTTTCCCTCCAGCAGACGTGGTATCCTGCGTCCATTCCGTGGGAATCTGAAGCCTATGTGACGTGTAGACATGAGAGTGTTCATGTGATTGATTAAGACACCGGCCAGAGAGCATGTTTGCATTTTTACAGGGGATAGGAAGCTGACTCCACGCTCAGCAATGTTTATTGGTGGGGATTTTCAGCCCTAGGTTAGTTGACATGCTCATTTCTTTAGGCATTAAAAATTAATTTCCAGCGGACCAACTCGACAGCTGTGCTCATGGACCCTTGCAGGGGCCCTCCTTGTTTTTCTCTTCATAGCTGAACAATTTTTAACTGGGAACAGTCTCAGACCTTATGGTGCAAATACTCCTCAGAGGTGGAGCTCACCAGCTGAAATTCCATGTTGAGATAGAAATGTCCAATGCCCTACCCCAGGCGGGGGTCAGAGAGGGTAACGAGCTCCATGATTTTGCCCAAGACTGGACCTGTGCTTGGAGAACTCACACCACCGCATCTTTCATCAATCTTAGCGTGGGATTCAAAAATCACACCCACTCACGGTTATCCCTTCGCAGCTCTGGAAGGTAACACAGGTGCCTTCGGGCTGTGTGAGCTCCCTCCTGCAGACGGAGGCCTCCTGTCCACTGCGTGGCACATGGGGCCAGGGGACTGCTGCCGGGCTGTAGCTGTGGTGGTTTAACCTGGGTCTTCAGGTTCCCTGTGTCTGCTCTAGAAATCTGTGGAAGCCGGCAGGGTATAGCCGGACCGTGGCCCCTGCAGAAATTCCCAATGAGTATTTGTTCTCAGTGCCTCATCCAGAGTAGGGGCCACACACTCAGATGCCCCCAAAGCCAGTCCGGGAAGCGGGAGAAACCGCCCAGGTCAGTGGCACCTTGGGGGCGTGTGCCTGGAGGAAGGGTCTGCCCCGTGGGAATGTGGACCTAGGATCGTCAGGTTTTCTGAGTTTGTAAAGAGAAAGTGGAAACCTGTGTTTAATGTGAAATAAATTGGCAACTAATTAAATAAATGACAACTCAGGGTGGGAGCGGGTGGACAGTTTCAGTCGGGCCCAAGGAAGCTCATGGCCCGTGGCAGTTGAAACCAGGGAGGGAGACTGACGTTTAGGGCCTAGATATCATGAAACTGGGTCTGAGGTACAGCTTCACCCTTCCCTTAACTACAGAATTGCCTTTCTTTTTTTTTTTATCCTCACCCGAGGACATTTTTCCATTTTTTTGTTCAGATAGAGTGGGAGGGAGGGAGGGAAGGAGGGAGGGAGGGAGGGAGGGAGAGAGAGAAACATCGACGTGAAAGGGACACATTGAGTGGCTGCCACCCGCACGACCAACCAGGGCTGGGGACAAACTGTAACCGAGATACGCGCCCTTAGCGGGAACCGAACCCGGGTCTCTCTGGACTGCAGGCCGACGCTCTAACCGCTGAGCCAAACTGGCCAGGGCCAGAATTGCCTTTTTGTGTGTGATTTCTGCCAAGTCGTCACCATGGGTTTGTCAGAAGCAGCATCTCCCCTCCCCAGGCCTGTTCCCTGGCAGCTTTCTTCTTAATGTCCGCTCGTACTTCTCAGAGGAAGAGTCATTGCAAGGATGGGTCAGTGTTTGCTAAGAAGGCTGTGCAGTTAGGAATGTCCCAACCATCAAGTCAGCTGGCTCTGAGCTGTGGTGGCGTCACCTGCCCCTGGGCGGCGTGTGCTGGGGGAGCCCCGCACAGGAGCCCGCATGCAGTGTCTGCCGCAAGGGCTTCATAAGCCGGCGGCCCGTCTGCTCCCTCGCATCCTGTCCACGGTCGCATTGGGTCATTAACGAAACAGGTTCCCAAGGAGCCTTCTCGGAAGCTCTGTATGACTCGGTCCTAAAGTCAGGAAGGGTGGGCAGAGCCGCAGAGGTCGTGGTAGCGGAGGGCCCTACGCTGGTGGGTGGCTTTGAAGAAAGCAGCCCCCTGTTTTGGTGAGAAGGGACAGATGGCCCACTTCTCCTTTCTGTGAAGACATGGGGGCTTTAAAAGATGAAGTGACCTTCCTAAGGTGGTCAGCTGGCTGGTGGCAGAGCCTGGATTTGGACCCTTTTCTCCTGGTCCGGGTCTGTCTTGGTTCCTGGCCCTGGGAGCTTACGTGGTCCTGTTCATCATTGGCTTTTCAGGTCTGGACCTGCGGGTTTGTCTTCTGATTTTTGTTGTTTACATTTCTGTATTTTTTTCTATCTTCTCATGCTCAGAAGTGGGTGCTGCCAACGGCTGTCCTCGAGGGAGGGTGTCCAGGCCCCGGGGGTCCTGTCCGTGGCCTTTCCGGCTATGTCCGCTGCCCCAACCCCTTCCCACAGGCCCCCCTGCTCTCTGGGCCCCTGGCTAGCATCTGCCTCCGCTGCTCGGTCTCCCGACACACCCGTCACAGCAAACTAAGAAGAGTGGACAAGTATGGAGGGAGGGAATCATGGACTCGGAAGGAAGGAAGGGCTTTAGGGGAGCTGCTTAGTAGGTGGAAGGGACGTGGGCATGGTGGGCTGACCTGAGGTGGGAATCCCCTCTCTGCCTCTTTTACCTCCGAGACCACCTTAGGCGGCTTACTGAGTCTTCCTGACCCTGGCCTCCTGAAATGTTCAAGAAAGACTAGACTTATGCCAGAGGTTTATGATAAGGATCAAATGAGTAATTTATTTAAAAAATCATTTTTCCTTTATTGATTTTAGAGAGAGAGGAAGGGAGAGAGAGATAGAAACATCGATGCGAGAGAACATCGATTGGCCGCCTCCTGCGTGCCCCCCACTCGGGATCGAGCCCACAGCCTGGGCATGTGCCCTGACCGGGAATCAAACCGGTGAGCTCTTGGTGCAGGGGTCGATGCTCCACCACTGAGCCACACCAGCTGGACATGAGTAATTTATTTAAAATAATTGTTATTAGAAGACAGGGCTGCCCTGGCCGGTTTGGCTCAGCGGTTAGAGCATCCGCCTGCGGTCTGGAGAGACCTGGGTTCGGTTCCCGCTAAGGGCATATACCTCGGTTGCAGTTTGTCCCAGGCCCTGGTTGGTCGTGTGGGTGGCAGCCACTCGATGTGTCCCTTTCACATCGATGTTTCCCTCTCTATCTCTCTTCCTCTCTCTCCCTCCCACTCTATCTGTGCAAAAAATGGAAAAATATCCTCGGGTAAGGATTTAAAAAAAAAAAAAAGAAGACACGGCTAACTATGGCTGCTATTCTTACATTCTGATTTTTTATATTTCTGAATTACTCATCAAAGTCACTCTGTTTATGGTCTGAGGTAGTTTCAGGTTGGGCCCCTTTAGAGGTGGGAGAGTTTAACAGGACATGAGTGGGGATGGGGGGCGGGCAGTACAGCTGGGGGCCAGGTGAGCAGTTCACAGCTTGTCCTCCTCAGGTCCTCTGAGCAAGTGTGACCCCATGGGAGTGAGTTTCCAAAGGTCCCTCAGTGCCCAGGGAGCACGGGGGGGCAGTGTGGCGGGGGGCTGGGGTGGGGCTGGGGGGGGTAAGGATACGGGAGCTGAAGTCGGGGAGACAGATCTCAAGTCTGCTGCTTCCTAACTGAAGAAACCTGGGCAGGTTGTTTCATCTTTTTCTGCCTCACTTTCTTCATAAAATGGAAATAGTAATGGCGCCTTCTCTGTAGGATTGTTAAGCAAACAAAATGAAAAGATGTAAGTACTGTGCTTAGCATATAATTACTGAATAAATGTTGGCTGGTATTATTGGACTTGAGAAGAAGCTCCTAAGGATGTTGGCGGACTTTTTGACGCCTTTAGTTC